CAAAGCATCACCGCTTTACTTCTATACACAGCGGAGTACTATTTGGTGATACCGGTAAGAGTTTTTATTTCGTGATAGCATTTGGGGTTCAAGGGGTTAGGGGTTAGGCGTTAGGGGCTAGGGGTTAGGGTTCAGGTTCGGGGTTTAGGGTTCAGGGGAATACTATTTGGTGAATACTGAACAGCCAGGGTACAGTTAGGGGTTAGGTTAGGGGTTAGGTTAGGGGTTAGGGTTCAGGGGGATAGTATTTGGTGAACACTGAACAGCCGGGGTACGCTTAGGGGTTAGGTTAGGGGTTAGGGTTCAGGGTTCAGGGCCAGGGTACAGCTAGGGTTAGGGGTTAGGGACTAACGACTAGGGGTTAGGTTTCAGGGATTAGGGTTCAGGGTTTAGGGTTCAGGGTTCAGGGTTCAGGGGGATACTATTTGGTGAACACTGAACAGCCAGGGCACAGTCTCTTTTTTGTACTTCTTATCGATGTTTGCCCAGTATTTGGTGAACACTGAACAGTCAGGGTACAGTTTCCAACATTTGCCCGGTATTTGGTGTAAACTGAACAGCCAGGTAGAGTTTCCGACGTTTGCATTCATTATTTAACAACCAGTCTAGAATATCGTTGGTGACAGTTTCTTCAAAGCATTTTTTTCATTCTTTAATAACGCAGCACCTTGTGAATGGGTCTCGCTTCGCTACTCTAGACTCACGAAATTTTGTTAGTTCGACCTCGCTCCACTTACACGTCGAGATCTGTCAGAATGAACTCGTGAAAGGAACTCTTGAAACGTTTAGATTGTGCAGAGACTGCAGCTCCACATTTGTCAAGGGTGGTCCGCGTTTCTCCTGGTGCGGCCTCTATTTTTTTGAGTAGACCTGGAGTAGGAGGGCCGATAAACCAACTGTTTAGTTGTAAGGTAGTGATGTCTGGTAGTGCACTCCAACTTGTTGAGCCCCGCCTTCTCGTGCACGAGAGAAAAAAACAAAGCATTTCGAATCGTGTGACATCCGTCCCGCCTTCTAGAGCGCGAGGAGCGGAGGCAGGAATTTGGTGAGTTGTTTGGCTCAGACAGCTCTAGACAGACTCTGGAATTTTTTCGGGGGTCTAGACTACAGTCTTCACCCGAATAGAACATTCGGTCATTATAGCCGTATTTGGTGCAATTTTTAGTCCAGATACGGCTATAATGACCGGGCGCGTTCTATTCGGGTGAAGACGGTAGTGGAGCGAGACCCAAAATATGTTGTGCTACGAATACGGCGAGATTTTCGAGCGCGGCTGTCTAGTCGGGTTCTCCAGAATGAAAAGGTAAGCACTAAGTAGTAAGGAGGTACTAAGGACTGATGAGCTGCAATGCTCTGAAGTGGACAGGGTTCTCAAGAACGAAAACGTTTTTTTCAAGAACGAAGGACCGATGAGCTGCAATGCTGTGAAGTGGATAAAGGAGAAGAGAGGAAAGAGGGGGGGGGGGG